AAGTTTGAGAATGTACTTTTGAGTATTGTGGAATTGGGCTGACTACTGAGGGTGTGGCAAACAAGCTGATAGAGACATTAACCCACATGCATGCATACTACAAACATATCAAAATGAAATATGCAATAAGGGCTGGGTACAGTGGCTCATGCCTGTGATCCCAGCACTTTGGGAGGCCAAGGTGGGCGGATCACTTGAGCTCAGGAGTTTGAGACCCATCCTGAGCAACATGGCAAAACTGTGTCTCCAGGAAAATACAAAAATTAGCCAGGCCTGGTGGCGTGTGCACCTGTAAACTGAGGTGAGAGAATTGCTTGAGCCAGGGAAACGGAGGTTGCAGTGAGTCAAGATCTCACCACTGCACTCCAGCCGGGTAACAGAGTGAGACCCTGTCTCAAAAATAAAACAAACAAAAGAAATATGCATTAAGAACAAAACTATAAATGTATAACTAAACTTCTAAGGAAGGAAAGAAGAGGAGGAAAATTCATAGGTATCAGAAATCAGAGAAATAAAATCAGAACAGTAAGCGGGAGCTAGTGTTGATGTATATAGCATAGGGGACTTTTGGTCCTGCATATATTCTAAGGTGTCTGGGGTTGAATTTTATTGCACATATGGGGATAGGATATATGACCTTGGGCCTTTTCAAATTATGTCTGGAACAAAGACCCAGGCATGTGGCATAGAGCCTGAAATAACTTCCCTAATTATGCATAGAGATTAGAAAAAGTACCCACTAGTCAAAGGCTCACTCAAGAACAAAGTCAATGACAGAACAGTCTAAGAGAGAATATAAAATGTGAGTGAAATGATCGCGGAGATAAAAGACGGAAATGAAGCAATGATGTAATCAGTGTGAAAAAGAAACAGTAAGACTTGGGAAAAAATTAACTTTTCGAAATTAAAAATATAATCATGGAAATTGGCAGTAGATGGGTTAAATTTCAGATTAGACAGATACTCTTGCCTTGGCTGAAAAGGAAAAATCTAGCAATAAATGGTTAAGAATAAGCAAATCTAGGCTAGGCACAGTGGCTCACGCCTGTAATCCCAGCACTTTGGGAGGCTGAGGCAGGCGGATCACCTGAGGTCAGGAATTGGAGACCAGCCTGGCCAATGTAGTGAAACCCCATCTCTATTAAAAATACAAAAATTAGCTGGGCGTGGTGGTGCATTCCTGTAATCCCAGCTACTCGGAAGGCTGAGGCCGGAGAATAGCTTGAACTTGGGAGGCGGAGGTTGCAGTGAGCCGAGATCACACCATTGCACTCCAACCTGGGCAACAGAGCAAGACTCATCTCAAAAAAAAAGAAGCAGCAAATCTAAAATGTAATCCATAAAAGTAAGAAATTGAAAATAAAGGATTTAAAAAATACTAGACTGATAAAAACCAAAACAGAAAACCAAAATAGATTTGGTTTTTAAAAATATAATCATGGAAATTTGCAGTAGATGGGTTAAATTTAAGATTAGACAGATACTCTTGCCTTAGCTGAAAAGGAAAAGTCTAGCAATAAATGGTTAAGAATAAGCAAATCTAGGCCAATAAATGGTTAAGAATAAGCAAAAATAGACCAAAAATAGATTTTTAAGGCAGAAAGCATTGTTAGTGATGAAGGAAGTCGTTGCATAATGAAGATGATGAAGAAAGGCATTACATAATGAAGAATGGAATAATTCACCAGGAAGAAATAGTTATCTTGAATCTGTGTGTCCAAATGATATTGTCTCAAAGCACATAAAGCAAAAATTTGCAGACAAAAAAAAAAAGACTACCTACAAATATAGTGGGAGATTTCAGCACATTTCCTTCAGAAGCCAATGAATAAACCACCACCACCCTCAACAAAAGTGAGAAAAATGAAAGCATAGAGACTGTTTGAACAACACAATTAACAAGCTATGTCTTTTAGACATGTGTAAACTGTACTCTCAAAATTAGTGTTGATGTTCCTTTCAAGCACACATAGGACATTTACTAGTCATATTATTAATATACAAACATTTAGAGAGCTACACATATTAAACCTCAAAGGGAGGGAGTTCCACAAATGCCTAAGCATATCATACTGGCTACTTTTTGTGATTCCTGCAGTACATGGAAAATTTACAAGCCGGGCACGTTGACTCACAACTGTAATAATCTCAGCACTTTGGGAGGCCATGGTAGGAGGATCACTTGAGCTCAGGAGTTTTGAGACTAGCCTGCACAACATGGTGAGACCTTGTGTCTTAAAAAAAAATTCGTTTTAATTAGCCAGGTGTGGTGGTTCACATCTGTAGTTCCAGCTATTCGGGAGGCCAAGGTGGGAGGGCTGCCGGAGCCCAGAGATCCAGGCTGCAGCAAGCCATGATTGTGCCACTGTATTCCAGCCTGGGTGACAAAGTGAGACCTTGTATCTTTTTTTTTTTTTTTTTTTTTTAAAGACAAAAATTTCCTTGTTTTTCCAAGTTTCATTTGAAAGTGATATTAATCAAATAATATTTAAAAGAAATAATAGTAATTGAAATACCTCTTGAACTCTGCATATGAGCCCAGGCATACTGTGTGTTTTACATGTATTTAAGTTTTTAGCAGCTTTCAATTATAACATACGATTGTCACCTTTAATAGATGAGAAATTGTAGGCTTAAAAATGTTTATTTACACCCAAGGTTAGCTGACTGGAGATCTCTACTTTTAAATATTACACTTTTACAAACTCTACCCCCTTTTTATACCTTTGTTATTATGATATATAGCTAGGTGGAGAAACCTACATAAAACACAAATACAGAGTTTGTTGAGTTATTATTAAGGTATTATCTTTGTAGTACCAACAAGTCAAGAAATAGAACTTTGCCGGCCACTAAGCCTTTTATGTTTCCCATTCTAATTATATTCTCCTCCTTCCCCACTAAAAGCATTTGTATTATAATCATTTTCTAGCTTTTTAAAAAATGCTTTGGCCTGGTGCAGTGACTCACGCCTGTAATCTCAGCACTTTGGGAGGCCGAGGTGGGTGGATCACGAGGTGAGGAGTCTAGAGACCATCCTGGCCAACATGGTGAAACCCCGTCTCTACTAAAATGCAAAAAATTAGCCGGGCATGGTGGTATGTGCCTGTAGTCCCAGCTACTCGGGAGGCTGAGACAGGGGAATGGCTTGAACCCAGGAGGTGGAGACTACAGTGAGCTGAGATCACGCCACTGCACTGCAGCCTGGCGACAGAGCGAGACTCCATCTCAAATAATAATTTGAATACCAAAGTGTACATTCTTAATGTGTTTTGTAAAGTTTTCCTTATTTTTCTCCCACTGTTTTTGTCCGATTTATTTGTTAAGAAACTGGTAGTTTGACCTGTAGAGTTTCTTACAAGTTTGATCAGATTCAGGTTTGATGTTTTTGGCCAGACTTTATAGGTAGTGGTATAGGAGATACATATACACTACTGGTTGTTTTTGTGATTTACAGACTACTGATACTCATTGGTTAAATCTGTTAACTCATTAGAGATAGCAAAATGGTGATTCTCTAATTTTATTATCTCTTCATTACTGGAATGTTTCTAAAGAGAAGCTTCCCCTCATCTAATACTTAGCTACCTGGTGATTCAATTTATATAAGAGAGGAAGAATAAGTGTTTGCTTATTTCTTGTTATTTACCAATTTTGTTGGGGGTTTTTTTTGCTTTTTTTTTTTCCGAGATGGAGTCTTGCTCTGTCCAGGCTGGAGTGCAGTGGCGCGATCTCGGCTCACTGCAAGCTCCGCCTCCCGGGTCCATGCCATTCTCCTGCCTCAGCCTCCCGAGTAGCTGGGACTACAGGCGCCCACTACCACGTCTGGCTAATTTTTTGTATTTTTAGTAGAGACAGGGTTTCACTGTGTTAGCCAGGATGGTCTCGATCTCCTGACCTCATGATCTGCCCGCCTCGGCCTCCCAAAGTGCTGGGATTACAGGCGTGAGCCACCACGTTATTTACCAGTTTCAACATGATGGGTTGGTTTCCACTAGCATCTTTCAAATAATCTTTTTTTTTTTTAATTTTTAAAGTATTATTATGAACTCATAGATGGATGGATTGACTGATTGATTTTGAGACAGGGTCTTGCTCTGTCACCCAGGCTGGAGTGCAGATGTGTGATCACAGCTCACTGCAGCTGTGCCCTATTGAAAGCACTTTGGAGACCAGGGTGGGAGGATCACTTGAACCCAGGAGTCTGAGACCAGCCTGGGCAATATAGTGAGACCCCATCTCTTAAAAAAAAAAATTTTTTTTTTTTTCTCAAATAGCTGGGTGGTGGTGCACGCCTGTAGCCCCAGCGCTTGGGATGCTGAGGCAGGAGGATTTCTTGAGCCCAAGAGGTTGAGGCTGCAGTGAGCTGTGATTGGGCCGCTGACACCCTTTTTACCCTACTTGGTATCTCATACCCTATACTGAGCTATTCCTCTTCATAGACACCCTCCTTGCCAAACTGCCTTCACCCTGTATGGTCTCTAACCATGTAGTACCAGTTCCCTTGCCACTCCTCTCAGCAAGTGGACATCCTCCTCACCATTTTTTTAAAAAAAAAGTCTTCGACGGCCGGGCAGGTGGATCACGAGGTCAGGAGATCGAGACCATCCTGGCTACCATGATGAAACCCCATGTCTACTAAAAATACAAAAAATTAGCCAGGCATTGTGGTGGGTGCCTGTCGTCCCAGCTACTTGGGAGGCTGAGGCAGGAGAATGGCTTGAACCCAGGAGGCAGAGTTTGCAGTGAGCAAAGATCACGCCACTGCACTCCAGCCTGGGCGACAGAGCGAGACTCCGTCTAAAAAAAAAAAAAAAAAAAGTCTTCCACATTTTATAGAAATCTAACATTTCTTTCATATGGCTATCCAGTTGGTTGGAATTTCATATAAAACTTGCATCTGCTCCCTCCCAAATTTGAAGTTTTAAGAAAGTTTTCTGTATCCATAGAACTGTTTTTCAAAAGGGTATAATTTTTCTTATTGCTTTTGTTTATAACAGATGATGATGTGCCTGCAGATATGGTTGCAGAAGAATCAGGTCCTGGTGCACAAAATAGTCCATACCAACTTCGTAGAAAAACTCTTTTGCCGAAAAGAACAGCGTGTCCCACAAAGAACAGTATGGAGGTAACTTTAAATGTAATTGCTTTTCTTTTTGTAATGAAAGAATTTTCAGGAAACAAACGAAAAAGGGAACGTCATCCTTTTTTAGAAGTAATGATTATGGATGATAAGAATATTTGCTTTACTAGTTTCTGTTTTGTTTTTGAAGGGCGCCTCAACTTCAACTACAGAAAACTTCGGTCATCGTGCAAAACGTGCCCGAGTGTCTGGAAAATCACAAGATCTATCAGGTATTTCCTATGGGAAAGTAAGAAATGGGGTAAAATAATTTTTTTTTAAATTTTACTTGATACAAAAAATGAACATTAAATGTATTCGAGTATTACCTTTGGGATTCAGAAAGTGATTATTACAGAATAAACTTTAGAACCCTAACCGCTCCCTCTGACTTTTGTTGTTGTATAAAAATACTTTTTATGTATTTATTTTAACCATTTCTGAGATGGCACATAATACCTAAAAGAAGGAGTACTTTTGTTAGTTCAGGATAGAGATAAATATGTGTTACCCATGAAACCCACATGCTTATAAAATGACCATTATCCAAAAAAAAAGCTATTCATTAGATAAAATGAAAACTGTGTTCTTTAAATAATGAGAAAGTTACTGCTCGAATGATAGTTTATATGTTAATCTCTTCATAGCAGCACCTGCTGAACAGTATCTTCAGGAGAAACTGCCAGATGAAGTGGTTCTAAAAATCTTCTCTTACTTGCTGGAACAGGATCTTTGTAGAGCAGCTTGTGTATGTAAACGCTTCAGTGAACTTGCTAATGATCCAATTTTGTGGTAAGTAAAAACCTATTCCTTATTAACTTGAGATATATTATTTGTTGCCCAAATGCTAAACATCGTAGGAAAGTCGGAGTGGTGAGTTGGTAGTTACAATTAGTTGGAACAAAATTAAAATGCTTATCAATTCCAAGTTACAAATGGAGGCTGTCAGTCCAGGTGGTATTTATAAAATCAGTAAATGAAGTATTTTCGCTGCTATTTATCAGTTAATAGCAACTGAGTGATTATGGGAAATGTTTTTCTTTTAATAGCTTTTTAGAAACAGAACTTAGTGTAATTTAAAATAGCTAATGAATTTTAAATCTGATAGATTAGAATGTAGGTTTTATACATCACTTTTGGAAAACAGTTGTATTCATGAATCTCTAATTCGTGCCCTTTGACCCAGTAATTCTACTTCTGAAAATGTTTTTTTGCCTTATGTGCAAATTTTTCATAACAGGCTAGTTAATGAGAAAAATTATAAATAATCTAAATATCCAGATATAAGGGAATGAACTAAGTAAACTTTGTAATGTGTACTTGGAGAGTTGTGATATAACCACTAATAGTAATTTTTACAAAGAGATTTTAATTTGTTTTTCGAGAGACAGGGTCTTGCTCTGTCACTGAGGCTGGAGTGCAGTGGCGCGATCACAGCTCACTGCAGCCTCAACTTTCTGGGCTCAAGCCATTCTCCCACCTCAGCCTCCTGAATAGCTGGGACTACAGGCATGTGTCACCATGCCCGGCTAATTTTTTTTTTTTTTGGAGACACAGAGTCTCACTCTATTACTCAGTCTGATCTTGAACTCTTAGGGTCAAGTGATCCTTCTACCTCAGCCGCCCAAAGTGCTGGGATTACAGGCATGAGCCACCACACCCAGCCCAAGTTTTTAATAACGTGAAAAAATGCTGTTGTAAAAAGTCAAAAGAGGCCAGGTGTGGTGGCTTCTGCCTGTGGTCCCAGCTACTCCAGAGGCTGAGGCAGGAGGATCGTTAGCCCAGGAAGTCAAGGCTGCAGAGAGCCGTGATCGTGCCACTGCACTCCAGCCTGGGCGACAGTGGGAGACCCTGTTTTTTAAAGAAAAGAACAGAGTACAAAATTGAATATGCTATATAATCACAACTATAATAAATGATCTGTAGATAAAATGAGTGGAAGGAAATATGGCAGACTGTTAATGGTTAATATATTGAAACTATAGTTCTTTACACTTTTGTTTTACAACAGTTATATGTATTACTTTTATGATGCACAAAAGGCGCACCATATATATATATATATATATTTATTTATTTATATATATGTTTTTGTTGTTTGTGACGGAGTTTCGCTCTTGTTGCCCAGGCTGGAGTACAGTGGTGCGATCTTGGCTCGCTGCAAGCTCTCCCTCCTGGGTTCAAGCAATTCTCCTGCCTCAGCCTCCTGAGTAGCTGGAATTACAGACGCCTGCCACCATGCCCGGCTAATATTTGTATTTTTAGTAGAAGCAGGGTTTCACTATGTTGGCTAGGCTGGTCTTGAACTCCTGACCTCAGGTGATCCTCCTGCCTCGGCCTCCCAAAGTGCTGGGATTACAGGCATGAGCCAGTGCGCCTGGCCCACACCTTACATTTAAGAGAAAAATTACAAAGGAGAAATGAAAATGAAGAGTAGCAGAACAAAACAGCATTGCTCACTGTACCAAAAATGATAATAGTTAACCTTTACTCCAGTTTGAAGATTTGATGGTTCTTGATAGGATATAAATGGGTTGAAGATATAGGACAAATTAAGTTCAAAGTATTTTACTGAAACTTATCCTTTTGGCCAGTCGAAGTGGCTCATGCCTATAATCCTAGCACTTTGGGGATTGAAGTGGGATGATTACTTGAGCCCAGGAGTTTGAGACCATCCTGGGCAACATACTGGGACCTCATTTCTACCCAAAAAAAATGAAAAAATAAGGCAAGAGGATCACTTGAACCTCAGAGGTCAAGGCTGCAGTGAGCCATGATCACGCCTCTGCACTCCGGTGTGGGCAACAGGAGTGAAATCCTGTCTCAAAAAGAAAAAGAAAATTATCTTTTTAAGTGATAATCATGATGTTTTTACAGTAAGAATAACTTTTTTTCCCCTTCCTGAGTGAACAGTTTGTAAGGAAATTGAAACTTTTTGTTCTTTTGTGTGGACTAATTTTCATACACAGTTACATTGTGAAAATTTTCACAGGAAAACTAATTTTCAGCCAGGCATGGTGGCTCACGCCTGTAATCCCAGCACTTTGGGAGGCTGAGGGGTGGGTAAATCACTTGAGCTCCAGAGTTTGAGACCAGCCTGGGTAACATGTGCCTGTAGTCCCAGCTCCTTGGGAGACAGAGGTGGGAGGATCATTTGAGCCTGGGAGGCAGAGGTTGCAGTGAGCTGAGATCGTGCCACGGCACTCCAGCCTGGGTAACAGAACTAGACAATGTCTCAAAGGAAAAAAAAGGAAAAGAAACTAATTTCCATATGCAACTACACTGAAAATTTTCAATGTGAAAAATACGTTTTCACATTTTAAATCCTGTTTTTAGCTGGGCATGGTGACACATGCCCATAATCTCAACTACTTCAGGAGGCTGAGGCTGAAGAATCGCTTGAACCTGGGAGAGGGAGGTTGCAGTGAGCCAAGATCGTGCCACTGCACTCTAGCCTGGATGACAGTGAGACTCCATCTCAAAAAAGAAAAATCCTGTGTTTTAATATTCATTTTTGTCTATTCTTATTTTCTTACTCAAGTTTTTGAGGCCTCAAATAATTGTTAATAGTTGTTCGAAACTGTATTAATCTAAAGGACATTTTATCAAGAAAATTTTAATTCCTTTCTCTGTTCAGGAAACGATTATATATGGAAGTATTTGAATATACTCGCCCTATGATGCATCCTGAACCTGGTAAATTCTACCAGATTAATCCAGAAGAGTATGAACATCCAAATCCCTGGAAAGAGAGTTTCCAGCAGTTGGTATGAAATATAAATAGAATATATTGGTTTATATTACACATTTGTAAATAACTTTCTTTTAAGAAATAAGTTTAGGCAGGGCATGGTGGCTCACACCTGTAATCCTAGCACCTCGAGAGGCCGAGGTAGGCAGATTACCTGAGGTCAGGAGTTCGAGACCAGCTTGGCCAACATGGTGAAACCCCATCTCTTCTAAAAATACAAAAATTAGCCGGATGTGGTAGCTCACGTCTGTAATCCCAGCTACTCGGGAGGCTAAGGCAGGAGAATCGCTTGAACCCGGGAGGCAGAGTTGCAGAGAGCTGAGATCGCACCGCTGCACTCCAGCCTGGGCGACAGAGTGACACTCTGTCTCAGGGGAAAAAAAAAAGTTGAGTAGGTTTTAAAGGTAAACCAATGAACATTTATCAACCAACAGAATATTCAACAATTCTTTTCACTACTGACATATCCGTTAATAAGTTAGTGACAGTAAGCATTAGTAGCCTGTGAGCAGTTGTGATTTCAGTGGGTATTTAAATTATTAGTGTTCGGTAGTTGTTTTAAACTTCCACATTTAGCTTAATTGATATATGGTCCTTCATGAATGAGTCTCAGCCGGAGATGATTTTGCTTTCTGTGGGGCATTTGGCAATGTTGGGAGACATTTTTTGATCGTCACAATGGGAGGAGAGCGTGCTGCTGATATTTGGCTGGGTAGAGGCCAGGGATTACCTCTAAACATCCTACAATGCACAGGATGTTTACCTCTAAACATCCTACAATGCCCCATAACAAATAATTAACTGACCCAAAATATCAGTAATGCTGAGATTGAGAAACCCTGTTTTTTGTTTCTGGATATTACTGGATCATAATTTGTTTTAGATTTTACATTGTACTCTACGACACAAAATTATTTGGAATAATTGAGAATTATTTTTGATTTTTAATAAAAGTTGTTCATGCAGTTGTACATTAATTTAAATATAAGGTTTATGTTAGTAGTCATTGGTTTTGCTTTGTTTTTGACATTTTAGTATAAAGGTGCACATGTAAAGCCAGGATTTGCAGAACATTTCTACAGTAACCCTGCAAGATATAAAGGAAGAGAAAATATGTTGGTATGTTTGATTTTTATTTTTATGACTTAAAATGGTAATCTTTCAGTTCTGTACTGACACATTTATTTTTTTCTAGTATTATGATACTATTGAAGATGCCCTTGGTGGGGTACAAGAGGCTCATTTTGATGGACTTATCTTTGTTCATTCTGGAATATATACTGATGAATGGATATATATTGAATCTCCAATCACCATGATTGGTGCAGGTATTTTGAAGTGCATTGTCATTAAAATTTTAATATTTTACTCATTTATGTGATAGGATTTTAAAAATGCTAGTGACTTAAAATCCAGTTGAACCTTTATAATATCCTGCTGGTAAAGTAGGAATGAAGATATCACACATATTTTAAGTGAAGGAAATGAAAACATAAGAGTTCAGAAATTATAGCTGTATATACATTTCTTTCTTCACCTCCCTACCCTGCCCCCCGCCCCCTTTTTTTTTTGATACAGAGTCTAGCTGTGTCACCCAGACTAGAGTGCAGTGGCACAACCTCAGCTCACTGCAACCTCTGCCTCCTGGGTTCAAGCAATTCTTATGCCTCAGCCTCTCAAGTAGCTGGGATTATAGGCGTACACCACCATGCCTGGATAATTTTTGTATTTTTAGCAGAGACAGGGTTTCACCATGTTGGCCAGACTGGTCTCAAACTCCTGGCCTCAAGTGATCTGCCCACCTGGGTCTCCCGAAGTGCTGAGATTACAGGCATGAGCCACTGTGCCTGGCCATATATGTTTCCTGATGTTAGTACTTTCTCCAGTTGCCTTCAGTTGTTCATTAAACAAAAAAAAATAGTTTTTTCATCTTTTATTTGAAAATAAAGATGCGGCTGGGTGCGGTGGCTCACACCTGTAATCCCAGCACTTTGGGAGGCTGAGGTGGGTGGACCACTTGAGGTCAGGAGTTGAAGACTGGCCTGGCCAACATGGTGAAACCCCATCTCTACTAAAAATACAAAAAAATTAGCCAGGTGTGGTGGTGTGCACCTATAATCCCAGCTACTCTGGAGGCTGAGGCAGGAGAATTACAAAGAAAGATGCTAATATTTTAATTGCTATGTTTTTAAAGGAGCTGAAATATAATTTTTAAATACTTTTGTACTATTTCAAAGCTATTCATGGTCAAGTTTCTAAGAATAAATGTAATATCTGTCGAACACTGAGTCATTTGAAGATTTGTGGTTTTTTTTTTTTGAGGATACAGTACATAGAACATTTTAAGATAGCTACTAATTATTATTTGCTAGTGAAATTTGCATTTACAGCCTCTTTTGCTTTCTTCCTCTATCTCCTCATGAAGATGGGGAGGACAGAGTAGAGCAAATTTTTGTCTGGTGATTTTATTACTTTCTAAATAGAGGCCACTGTTGGAAATAAATTTAAATAGAGGTCTCTTCTCTTCTTGAGCTTCTGTTTCCAGTGCTGCTGCTAGAAACAGAATGGTTTCCACAAGAAACCATTTTTTGTTTTTGTTTCCACAAGAAACCATTTTTTAATATGTCATTGCATTTTATATTCGTAGTATTTATAGTTAAATGTTATTAGAAGTATTACTGTGCATGGATTTGAATATAGCAAAGGCTGATGATGAAACATAGTTAACTGATAGTGAATATTAGTTGTACTACTCAGTACTAATGTTTTTAGTAAGTTCTCCCTCCATAAAGATACCGATCTGTTGAAATCGAATAAAGGTAATATGCTTAAAATATCTTCTCCACAGCACCTGGGAAAGTGGCAGACAAAGTTATAATTGAAAACACTAGAGATTCAACCTTCGTTTTTATGGAAGGCTCTGAAGATGCTTATGTTGGATATATGACAATAAGGGTAAGAAATGTTAAGATTTAAAATACACGTTGAAATCATAAAGGCAGTAATTGTTTATTTCAAAAAAAAATGTTTACATTTCAGTTTAACCCTGATGACAAATCTGCACAACACCACAATGCACACCACTGCTTAGAGATTACGGTAAATTGTAGCCCTATTATTGATCACTGTATCATCCGAAGTACATGTACAGGTTAGTGTTTTCTTTATCTTTTACAATAAAATTTGGAGTCACTGTATTGTTGCCCAGTAGGTATTTAAATAAATAAATAATTTTTCTACAGTTGGTTCTGCAGTATGTGTTAGTGGTCAAGGAGCATGTCCCACTATCAAGCACTGTAACATCAGCGACTGTGAAAATGTTGGACTGTATATAACAGATCATGCACAGGTATTTTTCAATTTTGTGGGGTTTTTTAAAAAAAAAATTTTTAAAAGCTCTATTGACGTTTGTTTCTGATTACTTGTTGTAGGGAATATATGAGGATAATGAAATTTCCAATAATGCATTAGCTGGGATTTGGGTTAAAAATCATGGAAACCCAATTATTAGACGGAATCATATTCATCATGGACGTGATGTTGGTGTGTTCACATTTGATCATGGCATGGTAAGAACACTTATTTTTAATAGAAAAACCGACTTCTGCATCAGTTAAATTTCAAGTATGTTTCAGCATTATTTTCTCATCACCAAATTATCTGAATTGAGGCGTATAGGTTTAAAAGCAATTTCAGCATTATATTTTAAAATCAATATGCAACATTTACTCTGTAAATTTATGCATCAAACATATCCATGTAGAGGTGATAGCGTTCTTAGGCAATATATGTGATCTTTGAGGGGAGTAAGGTATAACCCGTTAGTTCTCAAATGTGTGTGTGCATAAAAGTCACCCAAAAGCTTTCTGTTTTAATGAAAATTCCTGTATCCTCAGATTTAATAAATCAAAATTTCCAAGGATGGGGCCTAGAATATGTATTTTTAATAAGCACCATAAGTGAATCTAACACAGTTTGTAGGGTATACTTTGAGATATAATGGTTTCATTGTTATTTTGCTTTTCATTTAATTCCTCTTGAAAATTTTTAAACTGGCAGAACTTTAATAGGAGATATAATGATAAAATATCAGTTTTAAAAACGTTATGCAGCAGTTTCATTAGGCATCCTTGTGGAGTATACTGTGTTTTAAATATTACTATATAGTTTTACATAATTTTCTAGAGACATGACTTTTTGAGCTTGAGATCACCATTTCAAAATAATGTTTTGAATGTCTATTCAGATTTTTTTTTCATTTAATGTCAAATTTTCCTTGAGGTAATTGTCTAGTCCTAATACAGCATTAGTAAAATTTTCTGTTGAGGAGTCCGAGATGGGAGAGAGTGTCGTAACATTGTGGCAAATAGGATTATGGTGAGATTTTGTTGCCTATTATACAACATTAAGCAATCCTAGGAATGTTGGATTCATATATACAAATTTTCAACGACAAAGAAAATTTTTTATTTTCATTGTTTGTTCTTTTTGGTTTTTTTGAGACGGAGTTTCACCCTTGTTGCCCAGGCTAGAGTGCAGTGGTGTGATCTCAGCTCATTGCAACCTCCACCTCCTGGTTCAAGCAATTCTCCTCTCTCAGCCTCCCAAGTAGCTGGGATTACAGGCGTGCACCACATCTGCCTAATTTTGTATTTTTAGTAGCAACAGGGTTTCACCATGTTGGTCAGGCTGATCTTGAACCCCTGGCCTCAAGTGATTCACCTGCCTCAGCCTCCCAAAGTCCTGGGATTACAGGCATGAGCTGCCGCATCTGGCCAATGCAGAATTCTTTTTTGAAATAAACTAGACCATGGCTGGGTGCAGTGGTTCACACCTGTGATCCCAGCACTTTGGGAGGACAAGGCAGTTGGATCGCTTGGGCTCAGGAGTTCAAAACCAGCCTGGACAACATGGTGAAACTCCTTCTCTACAAAAAAATACAAAAATTAGCTGGGCATGGTAGCTCACACCTGTAGTCCCAGCTACTTGGGGGGCTGAGACTGGAGGATCGCTTGAGCCCAGGAGGCAGAGGTTGCAGTGAGCCAAGATGTTAAGATGTGTGCCATTGCATGGGATTTCAGGCGTGAGCCACCACGCTTGGCCAAGTTCATCATTTTTGAAAGACCTCTGGTGATGGATGGTCCCTTATTAAAATTCACCATAGTAAGTTACTCCTCATCACACACATGCTCCTATACCATTTTAAAGAATAGATTTGGGCTTGTAAATATTACAGCATTTTTAAAAATAAGTCTAGGCAATGATATAGGTAGATATTTCCATTAAGGATTAATGAGATTTATAAATTTTAAGATTTATAAAGTATTTCAACCTATCCCCACCCCATCATTTTTATTTTTATTTTGCAAAGGTTTAAAACATTTGCATTCCTACAGTTATTGGTCTATATTTATTCTGTATTTATTTATCATTTATTATTTTATCATGGTGTCTCCATGCTTGAATTTTAAAATTTTGATTCATTCTTGGTATGGCTAGGTTTTGTCATCCAGTCTTTTTTTTTTTTTTTAAAGAAAGGCTTATGGATATTATAGCTTGAATTCTTGCCATGTGAGAATCACTATCCATTGCGTTTTAACTTAGCTGAGTTTCTTTCTTTCCCTCACAATTCTGTAGACATTTTTCTATTCTAGCATTGAGCATGGCTGAGAACTCTGAGATCACACTGGGTTTTATTCTTTCTTCTTTGCTTCAAAGATTGCTCTTCTACCTCAGTATCCATATTTTGGCTTTTGTTGATGTCGTATTGTTTTACTATTTTTCTGTTCCATATGTTCCTTTCTTTAGAAACTTAGCTATCTTTCTTGTTATTTATATTGCTGTGTTCTGTTCTGTTTAGTGTTGTGTGAGTTCCTCAAATCCGTGTTCCTTACCACGTCTCCGTAGTTTGTTTTTCTATTGTTATTTTGGTTCCAGTGTGGGTCTTGCCTTTAATTTTTACATTTTTTAATGAAATTTTTCTAACATACACCAAAGTAGAGAGAATAATATAATGACTCTCCAGGTACCTATTATCTGCCTTCAACAACTATCATTTCATGGCCAGTTTTGTTTAATCTATACCTCATGTGTCTTACAACCTTCTTTACACTCTGGTTTATTTTGAAGTAAATACCAGACTTCATCATCTCCTGTAAATATTTTACCATGTGTCTTTCAAAGATGGGTGTTTTTTTTTTTCTTTCCCATAACCATAGTGCTAATTCACTCCTCAATAATTAGGAATAATTCCTTAATATCATCAAATTTTGTGTTAATGTTCACAGTTCTCCAGTTGTTTTTTGTTTGTTTAATATTCAATTCAATGCAGAGTTGTTACTTTTGTAAAATAAGATTAAAATGTCATAGCAGGCCAGGCGTGGTGGCTCATGCCTGTAATCCCAGCACTTTGGGAGGCTGAGCAGGTGGATCACCTGAGGTCAGGAATTCAAGAACAGCCTGGCCAATATGGTGAAACCCTGTCTCTACTAAAAATACATAAATTAGCCAAGCGTGTTGGTGCGTGTCTCTAGTCCCAGCTACTCAAGAGGCTGAGGCAAGAAAATAACTTGAATCCAGGAGGCAGAGGTTGCAGTGAGCCGAGATCGCACCACTGCACTCCAGCCTGGGTGACAGGGCAAGAGTCTGTCTCAAAAAATGAATGAATGAATGAATGAATGAATAAAGTGTCATAGCAGTGCCAAATGACTATAAAATTTTTTGAGGCTGGGTGCGGTGGGTCACGCCTGTAATCCTAACGCTTTGGGAGGACAAGGTAGGCAGATCACTTCAGTCCAGGAATTCAAGACCAGCTTGGCCAACACAGTGAAACACTGCCTCGTGGCAGCAGAGGCTGGGCACAGTGGCTCACACCTGTAATGCCAGCACTTTGGGAGGTCGAGGCAGGAGGATGCATGAGCCCAAGAGTTTGAGACAGACCCTATCTCTACTAAAGAAATGTTATAAAAATTGGCTGGGCATGGTGGCACACACCTATAGTCCTAGCTACTTGGAAGGTTGAGGCAAGAGGATTGATTGAGCCCAGGAGTTCAAGGTTGTAATGAGCTGTGATAGCTCCAGCTTGGGTGACAGGGAGATTCCTGTCTTCTTAAAAAAAATTTTTCGGCCGGGCTTGGTAGCTCTGTAATCCCAGCGCTTTGGGAGGCCGAGGCAGGTGGATCACTTGAGGCCAGGAGTTCGAGACTAGCCTGGCCAAAATGGCAAAACCCCATCTCTACTAAAAATACAAAAATTAGCTGGGTATGGTGGCACCCGCCTGTGATCCCAGCTACTTTGGAGGCTGAGGCATGAGAATTGCTTGAACCTGGGATTTGGAGGTTGCAGTGAGCCAATATCACACCACTGCACTCCAGCCTGGGAGACAGTGAAACGCCACCTCAAAAAAAAAAAAAAAAAATTCTAATTTCTTACAGTTCTGTATTATTGAATTATTTTGCACTAGAGGTATCTCTTAACAAAATGGTTGCATTTTATTAAAATACATCTTGAAGCAGGCCCGGCTCAGTGGCTCATGCCTATTATCCCAGCACTTCAGGAAGTCGAGGGAAGCAGATCACTTGAGGTCAGGAATTCCAGACCAGCCTGGCCAACATAGTGAA